CGTTTGTTTATTCATTCGTCTGTTCATAGTTCATTCATTTATTTTTTCGTTCTTCATTCGTTCGTTCATTTATTCAATTTTTACTCGTAGTGTTATGCATAGGAATAAACACACACACACACACACACACAAACACACACATACACACAAACACACACACACACACATACATACATACACACACAAATAAATATACACATACACGAATACAAACACACTGACATGCACACAGACATACACACATAGCTACAAACACTCGCAAGTTATGCTTATGAGAACAGGAATTGTTTCTGTATAAATGAACTTTTTTAGAATTTCTCAAGGTTCCCTTCTTTTGCTAATTATATTTTTTGTCTATCTTTCTATCCTCATTCTTTTATCCATTCATGAAATCATTGTTTCAATTTATTCATTCATTCATTCATTTATTAAATTATTTTTTCATTTGATCATACATTCGTCCATTATTTTATTTATTTATTTGCTTATAAAACAGTTAGTTCAATTAATAAATCGATAGCTTGTTAATTATCGTTCACTCATCAATTCATTATCTAATCAATCATTCACTCATTCATTTATACATTTCTTCATTCATTCGCTCATTCATTCGATCGCTTCAAATGAAACACTTGGCCACAATTAGTATGCAAATACATAAGGATGTATCAGTAAGTAAGGAGATCTTTTAATAGTATTAGTTATAGAAGAGTAGTAAAAATATTAGATGTTGTAGTAGCGGTAGTAGTAGTAGCGGCGGCAGCAGCAGCAGTAGTAGTAGTAGTAGTAGCAGTGGTAGTAGTAGTAGCAGTGGTAGTAGTAGTAGTAGTAACAGAGCAATGAAACGACTTTTTTTAAGGGCTAACAAAAACATCATCAAAGACATTAAACAAAACATAAGAAGATTCTAAACATGCGAATAATAACGCAACAGACATATAAACAAAAATAAACATATCGGAATACTTGGTGTTTTAAACTCGTATAAAAACACACACGCACACATTCACACACAACACATACACACACACACACATAAAACAAACACATAAAACAAACACATACACAAACACATATTTTCCATATAATTCAAATACACTAACAAATACATGTATGAAAATTACACAAACATACCTGTGCACACAAACACACACACACACACACACACACACACACACACACACACAGACACACACACACACTAGTAGAAATAATTATTTTTATTATTTACACATAGCATAATATTGGTATATTTATTTTTACTCTTAGTACCGAAATTCTCATGGGGCGAATAAATCACTGTGTAGCGACCATTGAAAAGTTAAATAAAGATTGGCAGTGGCTTGGCTCTCTGGGACGTGGGGGAATTAATTTTATACTCGTAAACCATATCGCCACTAAAACATTTTCGTCCTTTTTTTAAGTTCTTTGTTGTTTTTTTTGACTTTGTTTATGTATTATTGTCGTTGCGTTTGTTGATGCTGTTATTGAATTTTTTGATTTTGTTGTTGTTGTGGTTTT